CGATAGCCGCAGCAAAGTACAAAAGAATTAGGCTAAAAAAGTGCTTTCCTGTCAATTGTACAAATAACAGGAAAGTTGGGTGAAACTAATTAAAAAACTTAACTCCTTTGTATTTTACTACGATTATCCCAAATCTCCTTATTATTTGATTTATTATTTTTTGTTATAAATAGCAAAATATTTTCTTGTCCTAATGACTTTGTACTTTATTGTGACTATCTGAAACCTTCTTGTTATTACTTTTATTTAAAAAAAAAATCAAATAACAAGGTGGTTTGAGGTAAGTACAAAGTATAAGGGAGTTAAATTTTTTACCAATTAGTTTCATCCAATTTTCTTGTCTTTTGTGCAATTAATAGCAGAATACTTTCTTCTTCTAACTTGTACTTTGCTGCGGCTATCTTTAACCTCCTTCTTATTTGTTTTATTTAAGAAAAAATAAATGAAACTGCTATAATTTGTCGCAATAACAGATTTCGTAATCTGTAATATTAATCAACTTTAACTATTCATATCTCGTTTTGCGGTGTAGAGCGACTATTTTGACTTTCAAATATGATTACTACGCATTAAAATACAATATAAATATGTGAATTTCAACCAAATTGGAAGTGAAAGTCTAAATTGGATAATTACCTAATTTTCAACTTCCTTCAAATGTCTATTGACAAGATGTATTTATATTTCACCGATATATATTTTCAAAAAATTAATAGACTATAATGAATAACCTGCCACTCCTCGGATAGACAGAATACTGAACATAGTATGGTTTTTTTATTACTACAATAATTTAGTATTAATTTAGTTTTTTTGCCAGCATATTGGTAGTAATTTTTATGACAATAGAAAATTTCTGCAATATTGACACAATTTTTATGGCATCAGATGCCTTCTTTTACATATTAACAAAATTCTGTTTGTATAATGATGTATTTATGCTAGTCTATTAGTTTATCTGCGTCTATTTCAATTATTAGCATATAAGTATATCAAAATAATCATTGTTTTAGATACTTGAAAATCAGTATGGCATGTGTACAAGAGGAAAACCTATGTGAACAGGATCAATACGGGATATATATCATATTATTGAAAAGACAATGTTTCCCAGTAAACACCAAGTAAAAGTTATGTTACATTAACGTTATTATTTCTCACTCAACAATGTAACTGTTACATTGTTAAATGAGAAATAATAATGTTAATGTAATGTAAGTTTTATTTGATGTTTACTGGATTATTATTATCTTAAACAGCATTAAAATAATAAAATATATATAAAAGTAAAAACTATAAACATACTATAAAAAACTATAAAAAGAAAAATAAAACAAAACAAGTGTAAAATTATCTTGAACGTTATAAATATTATTTCTTTAAATATTCTTGAAATAGTGTCAAAAATTTATTTTTTATTTCTATATTTTCATTATGATGCCTCTCTCTTTGTTCATAAAGCTTTTCATAATATGAAGCTAAATCTTCCTTTCTTAAACGTTTATTGATATGTCTTATAATATTAGAGTTTTCGGGTGCTATATTTTCTTTTTCTCCGTCGGATTCAATATGTAATGCAAGGAACTGTTGATCATAAACTGAAATTCTTGGATGTTTTCATTGGTTATCCAGGATCCGTACATGATTCAAGAGTTTTTACAGAATCTCCTTTATATCAATCTCTAGAACAAATTTGTTCAGGTTTGTGACTAGTGATATCAATATAATTAAGTTTTGATCTCCCGTTGAATTAAAATTTATTTATTTATTTAGATGGATCATACTTACTTGGAGATAGTGCATATCCCTGTTTACAATATGTAATCGTACCATAGAGATAATGGACACTTAACTCAAGCGCAAAGACATTTTAATCAACAATTAACCCTTTCGCCTATAACCACGTGTGAGGCTCGTGGTCAGGTTTTCGAGCCAAAACTGTTTATCACATACCTGGCCGTTGTACCCATGGTACAACGGTCGAGTCTAAACTGACTATCACGGGCCTGGCACGTGGTACGTCATCCGGGCTAAATGTAAACACCACGTGACACGCCCGTGGTTGGTCATGTGCGCCACTCCAAATTGTGCAGTTCAGGCTAGCGCATTCAATTGCGTGTTGTTCTTGACTGCGTTCGCACATAAAAATATAATTTCTTAAATATATTAGAAAAGTATCCCTATACAATGTCTTCAAAAAGAAAATTTCATGATGAAGATAGTGACAGTTGTGCTGACATTTCATTCAAAGATTTGTTAGATACTTCAGTTAGTGATAGTGACAGTATACATCCTGTACAAAAAAGTTGGAAGAATAATTATGTCAGATGATACCGAAGTTTGTACGAAAAATAAAAAACGTAATGAAACAACGTGGGAGTGCAAAAGATGCAAAGTTCCTTTACATGTATCAGTATGCTTCGAACGATATCACACGATTGAAGATTATTAATTTTTTGTTCATTTTTGTAAAAACGATAATTGTGTAAAATAAGAATTTGTTTTTAATTTGTTACTTGTATTTTTGTAATATATTTATTTTTTATATTTTATTTGTTATATATTATATATAAAATTATTATAAATAATAAAATAAATTGACTTTTCCCGAATTATATCTTTCTAATAGCTACAACACACCACGCAAGACGTATACAATTGGTATAACTTAAGGTAGATTTGCTGATTCGTGAAATGGCTCGAAAGCTCGGCAGTTTTGTTTACGTTTTGGGATTGCGCTGTTGCATCTTAAATGGTAGGCCAAGGGGTTATAATCAAAAATGCATTTGGTATTTTGAAACAGAGATTTAGACAATTATATCATTTTAAGTTACGAGACATTGTACGCATGGTTCAAGTCACACATGCTTATTACATAATTGCGTATTACATAATTTAGCACATATAGATGACTTGGAATTTTTAAAGCCTCCACATGATGATGATTATCCTGATCCAGAAGCAGCAACGGTAAATGTCGAAAATAATATTGAAAGAATTCCTGGAAATCAGCGGCCGTGATTTGCGAGACGAGTTATGTCGTTAACTTTTTGTACGACAATAATAATATAAAAATGTGAACTATAACAATATAAGTTATTAAAATATTAATAAGTTAGTAAAATATGTTATTAAATGTAAGCGCTTAATATCGAACGCGAGGTGGTTTCGGTTTCGGCCGACTTGTGAGCGGAGACTAAAGGGTGCCGCTTACCACGTCGCGGAGGGACAAACACACGCGACGCGCTGTCGAACTGAGCGGGGATCGAAACCGTCGGCAGATAAGAAAAATAAAAGAGACGAGCCGAGCCTAGCCGGTTTCCTTTATTCTCGCGAGGAAAAATCCGCCAAACAAGCGAACGACGACGAGAGACTCGTAGCGAGATCAGACCAATTCTGGACTCCGTACGAGTCGGACCTTTGCCGATGAGGTCCGCGCCTTTATGTATTTCGAGCAATAAACAGTGAATTCGTGTTTTACTCTTTTGCCTCACTCCCCTTCTTACAAAATCAGAAGTGGGATTCCATTGGCGCTGGATTTGACTAGATTATCAGTTACGATTTATGGACACTTCGATTTTTCGTGAATCTTTTGTGCTGAGGTGCGAGTTTATGTTTATGAGACTACGTCTATAAAGACCGCGAGTGTATTCGCATTACGATTTTAAGTTACAAACGTGTTGTGTTGTGCATCCGAGTATCAAGATTAGCTTGAGTGGAAGGTCGGAATCCGGCTCGTGGAACTTGTATGAACTCGTGGACCTTCGAGAATCTTTGTGGAATTTTACCGTGTTACGCGTACGCTCATTTAACGTGAGGAAAGAGTCACGATGAGCACGCTCAAGCTGGCAGAGCTTAAAAGGAGCTGGCGAAGAACAGGAACTTACCGACGGCGGGTGCAAAGCTCGAGCTTGTAAAGCGGCTATTGGAAGCGGGCGCTTCAGTCGAGGAACTGCACATGGAGAAAGGCACCTAGCCTGAAGAATCGGGAGTGCAACCCGACGAACCCCAGGCAGGAATGAGCGCACAAGTTGTTCCCACTCAACGAGAGATCGAGATCCTGCGGAAGGAAAGAGATTTCGCGGCACGTGAGGCTGAGCTCCTGAGGAGAGAACTGGAACTTCTAAGAATGTCGACACCGCATGAAACGACTACGCCTATCCGAAACGACACTGGAAAGTGGCAGGAACTAAAGGATTTAGTAGGCGAATTTAACGGCGAGAATTCAGATTTCGACCGCTGGGAGAGGCAAGTGAGGAAGCTATTCGCCGCCTATGACCTGGATGACCATAGAGCGAAGGCGTTGATGTGCAGCAAGTTAACCGGCAAAACGCTCAAATGGTGCCACTCGAAAGCTGACTGCATCGATTTGAGCCATGATGACCTCCTACGAGAGCTGAGAAAGATGTATGGGCTACGTTCGGATCCTTTGTTGTTACGGCGCGAATTTGAGGCAAGGAGCCGGAGGCCAGGAGAAACGTTTGCCGACTATCTGTACGATAAAGTGACCTTGGCGAACCGTGTCCCAGACACGGAAATTATTAGCTATCTTATCGAAGGTATTCTGAGCCAAGACCTGCGTACACAAGCCAGGGTGCAGTGTTATGAAACGATGGACGCTATGCTGATTGCGTTCGCTAATGTGCCGTCGCCGAAAGGAACGAATCTTCGATCTTCCACGCAACGTCGAGGCGATCTTTCAGTGTCCGAGAAAAATAAGCAACCGAAAATCGGGGAAGAGAACTCACAGAGGTGCTACAACTGCAACGAATCTGGGCACTTTGCAACGGAATGCACGAAGCCGAAGCGTGAACGAGGACTTGTTTTAAGTGCGGCAAATTCGGACATCACACTAACAAATGCGCGACTGCCAAGGAGGACATTAACTGCGTGGCGGAGGAGCGGCGAGTGAATGACGATTTTCGACAGGCGATTGAATTACAGGTAAGCAGTAAGATCAGATTTTATTTTATATCTCTACCGCGTTGGAAACCAGCGTCATGCACAAGTACCACAATGAAATGAGTCATGTCGGAACCGAGAAGACCGTCCGGAATATTTTGAACAGTTATTGGTTCCCCGAGATGAAGACGAAAGTCGAGAGGCATGTCAAGGCATCAATATAGTTTACTGCAATGCATCACATGTAGCCAGATATTTTTCTGGATTCTGGGCAATTTATCTTTCGTGTGCGTTAAATTAAAAAAATAAACATTTGACTACATGTAATGCGTTGCAAAAAACTTTACTCTCTGCTCGTTTATATAACTTTATATAACTTTAAATTAGCATCTTATATCAAGCGATGATTCTTATGTGCTTTTCATCGCGTTTAGTTTGATTGTACATCATGAGAGTTTGAAATATATACAGGATGAATAATTATAAATTTACAAATCTTATAAAAACATAAAAAAACATTGAGATAAATAGAATGGACGGGATAATATCGATTATATAAAGTTTAGAGAAAAATTACTAAATGTGAGCGAATAAACGCGTGAGATCACGGATCATTTCTCCATCTGTTGAGTGTCGCTGTTTAGAGGCGACCGCGCACCGGTCCGCCTTTGTCGCCTGCCGCTCTGGCCTGGTCGGTGCGGAGTAGCACACCCGCGACGCCCGCCCATCGCGCGTTTATTTGCTCAGGTATTTAGTAATTTTTCTCTGAACTTTACGTAGTCGATTGCAATATTATCCTGTCCATTGTATTTATCTCGTATTTTATCTGTTCGTTGTATTTATCTGTTTTTTATATTTTTTATAAGGTTTGTAAGTTTATAATTACCCACCCTATATAATATAGTGTTATATAACAATTATTGTTTTTAATATGTTTAAGATCACATACATGGTGAAGACGAACAAATGTTTTAGTCATTTGCTCTGTGATATGAATTATCGACGAAAATTGCAATTAATAGAGCAAGATGAAAATGACCTGCACGCATTTCAATGTCTACATCTTCATATATTTTATCTCTTTGAGCTATCAAAATATAAAGACTTCATGTGATAATATGGAATTGAAATCAGAATGATGAGAGCCGAATCACATGAAACTGTAGACATTGAAATTCTTGCAGGCTATCTTGCTCCAACAATATATTTCATTTCGCACTGATAATTCATATCACTGAGTAAATGAAGTAGAACACTTACTGGTATTTACTTTGTATTATAATGAATTGACAACATATTTTCTATTGATATATTTCTATTCTTATCCTAACTCTTTTTGTTCTCTTTTTCTAGTGCGATTATTGTAGTTCTTTTGTTACATCTAAGGATGTAGCAAAATCTACTGTAAAACTTGCTGTAAAACTTTTTACAAACTCGATGGCATCCACAATGAGTTTCAAAAGTCAAAACAAAAAAATTCCCTTTCATAAATTGAAGATGTGGGAAGTCATACAAGGTGAGAGTTTATTAATTTTAGATATTTGTGCTATATGGATAAATTATTCTTTAAGCAAAATTGAAATGTACAATTGGTTATTTATATTGAAGCACTCCACCGGTTAAATTAATCGGAGTTGGTAAATATACATACATTCTTTTTATACTTGCTGCCGCGGTGCTTAATTAATATCAATGTGATCAGAACAGATATTTTTCTTGTTTATTTTATATACTTTAAATTTCCCGGTATAATTCCATGATATATTAATAAAATAATAATTAACGTCTTTCTTTTGAAAATAATTTATATTATATATTAATATATTATGTATATACATTATGTATAATATTATATATTTATTTCAGGTGCCTTATTGATCAAATTTGATGACACAGCACTTTCACAAGCAGAGGAAACCATGAAATCATGGTTGGCTAATGCCCCGTGGCGCAAACAAGATAACGAAACGTATGGAAAACGAACTATGAAAACAAAATAAGTTACCATTTCAAACAGTTAGAAAAAAATGTTTATATGTCATAGTAAAAGTGCTCTTGTTTCTTATTTCAAATATTTTTTTTATTTAAGTATTTTTATTTTATGAGAAGTTGCAATATACTTATCATCTCTGAATGCAATATACATATCATCTCTAAAAACACTAATGTGCCTTGAAAATTTTATGTTATGGATTTAATTTTATTATATATTTAATATATCATTTCAGTTTATATAATAAGATTATTTTTATCGCACAGAAAGTGCATTACTTTATGATAAAATGTAAAATGTTATTTTACATTATAAATGTTACGTTAACAAGAAATAAATAATTATTTCTTCCAACTTTCATTTGAAGTATTATTCGTATTTTACTAAAAGTGAGAAATATGAACATTTGTCTTGTATTACATATCGGAATAAATTGGTACTTTTAACTTCATTACTCAAGTTCGATAATATTTTGTAAATTTATAATTTAATATTTGTTTAATTTTATTTAATGTAACATAATTTCGATCATACATATTAATCAATAATTTTAATATATTTTATAAACACGTAAGTAGATACATAAATAAATTAATTTCCCAGCCGGTGTGGTATAGTTTAGAAATACAATGACATGTTAGTGACGTTTCTAATGTTATTAAGATTTCTAACATTATTAATATATCATTAACAAATTTCTAAACGTTATCGTGACAGTTAATACCTTAATGTGTATAAGAAATACAAGAAAAATTCATGTTTTTCGCTTCTGATAATTCAATTCAATACCTTCGCAGTAACAAATTCATATTCAATATTCAGTCGAAATAGAATTATTGATGCGTCGAAATTAAATCATTAGTGACTCGTAATCGAATCATTAATAAGTCGAAATCGCGTCATTATTGAATCGAAATCGATTCATTATCCCGTCGTAAATTCATCGAAAGATGTGACATAAATAAATCAAAATCGATGCTTTTATCAATTAGTTTTCGATATACGTTTTCGATGTCGATTTGATATCACTTCGATAAGTCATTTCTCGTTGGGTTGTATCATATAATATATCATTAATACATGTTATGTATTAATACTTACGTTTCAAATTTGCAATATGTTCTTCCTCTATCAGTTTTTTTATTATTACTGATCATATTTTTATATGATCGAGTCAGACTTAAATTTATTCTCTACTTGTAAAGGAGATACTAAATAACCATTACGACCCATATCTTCTGCTATCTTGTTCCATAATAATTTGTAGGTCTTAATTTTCCTTGTACTGACGAGATCCTTTTTATATTTATATATATTTAAAAATAATTTGTTGATGCATCGTCCCAAGGAAAAGCAGTAGCTTTACTTTGATTATTAGCATTTTCTAATGCATATGTTTCATCTTTTTCTCCTTCTTCAAACAAATTTATGATAATTTCCAGATCATCAATCGTAAATTTTAATATAATTGATGAAAAATGAATTTCATCATATTTTATTTGAAATACTCTTCTTCAATACATCTAAATAAAAAATATGTAAAATATATTAAAATTTAATTATAATATATTAATATAAAACTATAATATATTTAACTTATATAACTTATAAGCTAATTTATATTACCTTCAATTATACATTGCACATTTCCATCAGAATCAATCAATGCATTTCCTAATTCATTTCTGCACAGAAATCCACGCATCTTTATGTAAAATCGTACTTAAAATAAAATTAAACGGTAGAGGTTATATAGGGTGGACCATTTTAACATTTAATGGAGAATAACTCGACCGGTGAGCGAAATAATGAAAAAAGTTTTATACAAAAGTTGTTGGACAAGGAGGGGGACGTATGACCATATCCTTGAATTTGACCTTGACTTTGACCTTAGGGGTTATTTGAAGGTCAAATAACATTTTTTAAGTAGAATTGCCTATTTTCGACCCCGGATTTAGAAAGAGCGGGAAATTTTAAAATAGGATATGGTATGATCGATAAGATCAAATGTCATGTTTTGAGGTCGTTTCAAAGTCAAAAGGAACTTGTACGTGTATTCATGCGAAAATCGTATCTGTATACGGGGATTTCTAAATTATCTTCTACACTTAGCATTACCCAGAGACAACGACGTGGACGTGGTAGAATTCTGCCTCTTTCGGGGTGCTTGTTTAGAGTGAGTCCCCTTGCCTCTCACTATGCATACTTTGCTATTGTTAATCTAGCTATTCAAAAAGTTTTCGAAAGTTGCACCGTTAGCATTTATGCAATAATTGAGCCTTCTTTGGAAATGGGCCACTGTGCTGAGCAAGACATTTCGTGGAATCGCTTCACAAGCTCGTCTTATGCGATTTTCCATATCTTCTCTTGTTGTTGGTTCTTCTTTGAAAACAACTTCTTTCAAATAGCCCCAGAAATAAAAATCGAGTGACGTCAAATCAGGAGAACGAGGAGGCCATGCAATCGGACCCTCTCGACCAATCCATCGGTTCGGGTACCTTTCATCTAAAAACCTCCTGACTATATGTGCAAAGTGCGGTGGTGCACCATCCTGTTGGAAGAACATCCTTCGCCTGGTTTCCAAGTCTACATTCTCCAACAAATGAGGCAATTGGTCTGTGAGCAAATCGAGGTACGTATTTGCATTCACAGTACGTTCGAAAAAGAATGGACCGACCAAGTATCCATTAACAATCCCGCACCAGACATTGAGGCTCCAGCGATGTTGATTGTCAATCGCTCTATGCCAGTACGGATTGGTATCGGACCAATAATGGCAATTATGCCGGTTCAACTCCCCTGTGTTCTTGAACGTCGCTTCATCGGAAAACATCACAAATCTAAAAAAATTAGTTTCTCGATCGATCTGCTGTAAGGCCCACCGGCAGAACTCGAGGCATCGATCAAAATCGGCAGGTAATAATGTTTGGGTCAAAGTGATATGATAAGCATGGTACTTCCGAGGCTTCAAAATCCGCAAGATTGTGGACTTCGGTATTCCTGTGGATACCTCCAGTCTACGGCTCGAAATATGAGGATCGAGATAGACCGATGCCAAAATAGTCAGCACTCATACGTCATTCTCGTCATATTCGTGATGACGACGTTGACGTGTCATTTGTCCAGTACATTCAAAGACACCTAGACATTCCCCTAAAATATAAATCATATCAACGATCTCATTGAGTGTATAATCTCCCATTTTAATCACACCAGATCTCTGCTTATTAATATTAAGAGACAAGCTGTATGATAATAATTGAGTTTTATCTCAATGAACAATATTTATTATACTAGCTTTATAATAATTATTGTTATAATTATTATTATCAATATTATTTTTGGGCGGATAATGATAATAATAACAATGATAACACTATTTTGTATTCTCAGCGAATAATTCCTTACGAGTGAAAAATGTGAGCATTACTCGGAAGCGACGTGGACATATTGTCTCTCCCTGCGTGCTCCTACCGGCCACATGTGAATGCCGCAGCACTTTACGCTCAGCGCTTTCCGAGGAGACGACATCCGTGTAACGTGACGATCAGAAATTTGACCACGAGGGCACGTACTGGGCAAATGACACGTCAACGTCGTCATCACGAATATGACGAGAATGATGTTCGAGTGCTGACTATTTTGGCATCGGTCTATCTCGATCCTCATATTTCGAGCCGTAGACTGGAGGTATCCACAGGAATACCGAAGTCCACAATCTTGCGGATTTTGAAGGCTCGGAAGTACCATGCTTATCATATCACTTTGACCCAAACATTATTACCTGCCGATTTTGATCGACGCCTCGAGTTCTGCCGGTGGGCCTTACAGCAGATCGATCGGGACCCTAATTTTTTTAGATTTGTGATGTTTTCCGATGAAGCGACGTTCAAGAACACAGGGGAGTTGAACCGTCATAATTGCCATTATTGGTCCGATACCAATCCGCACTGGCATAGAGCGATTGACAATCAACACCGCTGGAGCCTCAATGTCTGGTGCGGGATTGTTAATGGATACTTGGTCGGTCCATTCTTTTTCGAACGTACTGTGAATGCAAATACGTACCTCGATTTGCTCACAGACCAATTGCCTCATTTGTTGGAGAACGTAGACTTGGAAACCAGGCGAAGGATGTTCTTCCAACAGGATGGTGCACCACCGCACTTTGCACGTATAGTCAGGAGGTTTTTAGATGAAAGGTACCCGAACCGATGGATTGGTCGAGAGGGTCTGATTGCATGGCCTCCTCGTTCTCCTGATTTGACGTCACTCGATTTTTATCTCTGGGGCTATTTGAAAGAAGTTGTTTTCAAAGAAGAACCAACAACAAGAGAAGATATGGAAAATCGCATAAGACGAGCTTGTGAAGCGATTCCACGAAATGTCTTGCTCAGCACAGTGGCCCATTTCCAAAGAAGGCTCAATTATTGCATAAATGCTAACGGTGCAACTTTCGAAAACCTTTTGAATAGCTAGATTAACAATAGCAAAGTATGCATAGTGAGAGGCAAGGGGACTCACTCTAAACAAGCACCCCGAAAGAGGCAGAATTCTACCACGTCCACGTCGTTGTCTCTGGGTAATGCTAAGTGTAGAAGATAATTTAGAAATCCCCGTATACAGATACGATTTTCGCATGAATACACGTACAAGTTCCTTTTGACTTTGAAATGACCTCAAAACATGACATTTGATCTTATCGATCATACCATATCCTATTCTAAAATTTCCCGCTCTTTCCAAATCCGGGGTCGAAAATAGGCAATTCCATTTAAAAAATATTATTTGACCTTCAAATAACCCCTAAGGTCAAAGTCAAGGTCAAATTCAAGGATATGGTTATACGTCCCCCTCCTTGTCCAACAACTTTTGTATGAAACTTTTTTCATTATTTCGCTCACCGGTCGAGTTATTCTCCATTAAATGTTAAAATGGTCCACCCTGTATATATCAGGTGTAGTAAAAAGAAATCCATTATTTTTCCAATAGCTTGCTTCAGTTATC